ACCCAATACACGCGAAAAGAATCGATAACGAATCTGCATTGAAGCTTTATCAAATGGTGAAAATTGAAGATTTTCCAATGGATAATCGTTATAAATATCTGGATGTCATGTGTTTCCCTGATTTATATCCTGATGGTGTCAATGGACAACGAGAAGATAGAAACTTTGCATTGCCGGAATATTTATTTATTAGAACACGATTGATGTCGAAACATAGTAGATTCAGGTTGAATCTGCAGTATCTGTTCTTCCTTCTCAATGATGCTAACTACCGACAGTTGAAAAGTGGTATCTATTATACGATGATGGTTACTAACCCACGAGAGAGATACACTGCTGGTAGATACTTGAACGAATTGAAAGGTTACCAATTAGAATCGAATTTAATGAGTATTTTCGCAAAATTGAGAAATACGGATCAATTTTGGCGACAACCGTCCAATAATGTAAAATGCATGACTTTGCATTACGGTCCAGCGACGTGGTTTTTGACTTTGAGTCCTAGTGAATGGAAATGGTCCGATTTGGGTGAATATTTACGAGATATGAATCCCGATAAAGAGAAGTTAGGCATCAGCGAACTAATCGCATACGATCCTGTAAGTACTTCTAGATTCATGTGCATAAAATTCAAAGCCATGATTGATTTTATTTGTTCGTCCGATAATCCAATAGGAAAGGTTATTCATTACTTCTGGCGACTGGAATATCAACGTAGAAGTATCCAGCACATGCATTGTATGATTTGGATAAAAGATGCTCCAGTATTAGGAAAATCGCCGGATGAAGAAGTTGCTACGTTTATTCAAAAATACGTAACGTGTGAAATTCCAGATGAAAATGTTTCGCCAACGTTGTACGATACGGTAATAAGTGATCAGAATCATAAACATAACTCGTATTGCATGCGTACAAAAAAACGGAAACTAATATATACAGAAAGTGTCGGTTCGATTTTCCTCGGCCAGTTACTGAGAATTTCGTTTTAAGAGACGTTATCACTTCGATAGTCGGTAGAAAAAATTTACGCAGTAAGAGCAGATTGTACGATCTTCCTCGCAAGGAGTCGGAAAGGTTTATAAATGATTATAATCCGGCTATCAAATTAGCCTGGGAGGGAAATATGGACATACAATTTATTAGAGAAAAATCAGAGTTTTTAAACTCATATTTAACAAAATACACGACAAAGTCGGAAAAATGCAATACAGACTTTGAAGTGATAGATTCGAATAAGTCCTTGGCATCGAAACTGTGGAATTTTGCAATGTTCATTAAATAACAGAGAATGCGGTGCTTTAGAAGCTGCGGATACACTATTAGGGAATCCCTTGTACGGTACGGATAATGATACCATGGTCAAATGGATCGATGTAATGAGGTGAGAAATAGAAAAGTTAAAACATTTAATGAAATTTAAGCTCTCGATGAAAATTCTACGAATATTTACTGTTCGTCACTCATCGATGATTACTATCCAAATAGACCTCAGGAATTAGAATCATTGAATTTGTACGATTTTGCCAGATTCTGGGAAATTACGAAACAGATGTCAAATAATGACGAAGTCAAGTGTTACAAACTGGCATCGGGTTTATTTTTAAAAAAACGAAAAAAGGGTTATTTAATTAACCATTATCGATTTAATATAAAAACTGAGCCCGAAAAATACTTTTACTCGCTGCTTCTTCTGTTCAAACCATGGAGAGATTTGAGTGAACTCAAAGGTACATTCGAGACTTACACGGATGCCTTTAAGAATTCAGAGTCTGTTTTAACGAAGGCAATGAAATATCACGAAAGGCTCGAAGAAATACAGAAAGCTTTGAGAACGTTGCTGAATTAATCGAGAAGCGCGAAAATGATCTGAAAACAGCAGACAGAGACAAATCCGATGACGATGAACTGGATTGTAATCCGATAGAAGCTGACGACGTGATGAAAGATCTGGAAGATTTTGGTAAGATTGACGACCCGATTGATTTATCGCAAATGATGTCGCAATTGAACAAAGACCAGAAAGAGTCTTTGATGGAGTATGCCAAGTTTTACAAGATAAGAATCAGATTCTGCGACTGTACGTAAGTGGCGAGGGTGGTACAGGGAAAAGTTTTCTAATTGAAACGATTAAACATTGGATCAGAATAAATTTGGAAAAAACGACTGCCATATCTGCTCCCACGGGTATCGCAGCATTCAATATCGATGGCTTGACAATCCATAGAATGTTTCAACTGCCGGTTAGTCATGAATCTACACCAAAATATACGCAATTGTCAGACATGGTCTTGAAAACTTTGAGAGACAAATTAAAGAATGTCGAATTATTTATAATCGAAGGAATTACATGTAACAATGCAATGATGGATTTAGGAACGACTGTATTCAGTGATGGTCAAGCCTATGTAGGTTTGTCACGAGTAAGTAAATTGGAAGGCCTACATTTGATAAATTTCAATCCAGCATCAGTTAAAGCAAACTCGAGAGCCATTGTAGAATATAATCGACTGAGATCTATATTCAAATCTGAACTGCCACAAATCAATCCGTCCGAAAAAAAGGTTGTGAAAATGTACGATCGTCGATGGGCTATCCTAATATCATTGATGATGTGCAGAATTATGATTGTGAGGGACCAGAAAGTATAGTTACGTGGAAAATATATGGCCTTTGCAATAACGATGCTGTTTCGTGTTACGCTAATGTAATATTACAATGTGCGTTTCATTGCGTACGTATTAGGCAACAAATACTGAAAAATAAAGCATCGAATGCATTGACTGATGCTATCTGCGCGTATGGTGAACGTAAATATTGCAACATTCAAGCGGTTAGAAGATCTGTCGGAAAACGCTTCGAAGAACGAACACAACAAGATGTTTCGGAATTTTTTACGGCTCTAATGTCGACGTATTCCGACATCAATGATGTATTAAAACTCGAATTAAAGCACGTAACATGTTGCTCGAATGTCAAATGTAATTACAATGTAACTAAGCTGGAAAGCAGTAGTTTGTTAATATTACCTATACATTCGACATTAAAAAGGAAAAAAGGTGTCACTCTACAAAGTTTGATTAATGTAGAATTTTCTAAATGGGAAACGATAAACGGCAATTGTAACGAATGTAAGGGCACCGTGTTGGAAAAGAAAACCGTAATCGAATCAACTTTATTCGTCGTAGTAATACAGCTCAATTTATATATTTTGTAAACGGTGCTTCTAAAAAAATTATCAACAATGGATTAACGCCGTGCCGACGAGTAATATCACGATTAATAAAAAAAAGTACAAGCTAATAAGCGCTATATTTCACGAAGGTGAAGAAATAAATCGTGGTCACTACACGTGTATGTTGAGAGCTGACACAAAATCGGAATGGTATTACTCTAATGATATGGAAGTGTTCAAGAAAAAATGGCCCAAAGGAGCACAAGGGGCATACATATTGTTCTTAGAACAGATTAAATAATGGCGCTGTATATAGGCTGCCGTAAACGCTACATTAAAACATCAACTGTTCTAGCGCTGTATAAAAGTTGCCGTAAGCGCCAAAATAAAATATCAGCTGCTCTGGCGCTTTATAAAAGCTGCTGTAAGCGCTGCATTAAAACGAGTGCAATAAGTTTCTAATTTGACCTAGGTTTCATGACATTTCAAAAAGTATCATCAAGAAAAAAATTATCAGACAGAAATATGTATGTCGTGTTAAAATCGGAGAGACGAAGAAAAATATATGGTTGCGTTCTCACGAGAATGGGCGATGGAGGGGCCCATTCTTTATTTTCAATATTCATACAAGAATATAAATTCATTCTGTTGCAATTGAAATAAATGTGCAATGTATCGTTAAAAGTTATTACAATTATACAAACATTTACATATATGATTAAATAAAATATATATGTATACTTTAATATAATTATATATTTTATATATGTACATATATACCATATATTTCAATTATTTTGAACTGTATTGCATAAATTGTTACTTATACAAAGTTATGTGATAAGAATCGAAAATACATATATTTGTAATACTTGAATTACTAAAAAGCTGCTCTATATATCTGTTCTTTAAAAAGTAAGTGATATCCTAAAAAAATCATAAAAATGAAAAGGTCAGGCCATGTTCAAAAGAAGGTACTTGTTCACGAACGCGCTGCGTGAGCAAAGGATCGCGCTGCACGAAAGGATGAGTCACTTTTTGTAAAACAAGGACTTTAATAATATCACACACGTATTGACAAAATACTATAACAAACTTATTACAAAACTTTAATTATTTTACAGTGAAATCGGAATCAAAATCAAAGTGCGGAATAGCGGCGGTCGTCAACGAATTTTGCGGTGTATCTGATAAGCGGTTTGCGATATGTTTTCACGACGGAAAAGCGATAAAGCTCACAAGCGGGGTGTGAGCTCCTCTTTTATAATTTCCGGAGCGGAACCCACCTTCGTGTGAAGCGCCAATAATTTTGCGTCTTTTTAAAGTTGCGCGAGGTGACCTGAGCGTATTACGCGTAATTGGCCGCTGTCAAAATTGACAGAACAACGGCTGTTAGAAAGCATGCGCGAGCTGGCGATCACGATGATTATTGGCGAAACGAGGCGCCCGTGAGAAGCCGCGCATGCTCAATAAAATATAATTATTCGGCGGAACGGTTGCGACACCGTTAATTGTTTATATTTCGAGCGTGTTTTTGTACGACAGGATAATTTGTGTCGCGATATGTTTTCCAAAAAAAAAAACATAAAAACGATATGCCTGTTGATTTGCGATCGGAAGCGAATATTCTAGAATATTCTATTTAAGATATAATATTTTATTACACATGTAGTTTTCTATTATGCGTTTCAAACATTCCCGCCCGCCTTGTCGCGCAGTGACAACATGTTTGTGGTATTTCGGTCGCGGAATCGCAAGTCGATAGTGATCGATGGTGGGGCAGGCGCGCCGGCGCGGCGAGATTCACGTGATGATCGCGTGTAATTTGAATCGATCAGCTGAGCCGCGGAAACACGTGGTGATCGCGTGGAATGTGATGATCAGCTGAGACAGTAACGAGTGTGTGTTTGATGTGAAATGACGAACGTGTAGTGCAGTGTGGTGATTATGGAACAATTGCAAGTGCGGTGGTGCATGATGAGAATGAGGTGTGACAAATGATACAGTGCATGATGTGATAAATCTCGTGAATGAGTGTCGAACGTTGATGAGTGATGTGTTACGTGCCGGCGGACGGCGTGTCCGCGTTATTCGTGTCCGGAATACGATCCGCGCCCGGGAGCATGACCAATTTAACGATCGGGCGTACGAATTCGGATGTGGCGGTGCGTACTGAGACCACGCGGACGACACCGTCGTCCCCGGGATGCAGTCTCGTGATCCTTGCAAGAGGCCATCGAGTCGGAGGGGTGAGCTCCGAGCGGATGATGCAAAGGTCCCCGACGTGAGGTGCGGCCTCGGCCTTGACCCATTTGGTGCGGGGGTTGAGCCCGTGCACGTACTCAGCCGACCACCGCTGCCAAAAATGGTCTCGCATCAGCTGCAGGTGATGCCAGCGTGACAGCGTGGATGATGATTGTCCGATCCGTGACGGCTCAGGTATAGCTAATAGAGGCGCGCCGATGATGAAGTGCCCTGGAGTGAGTGCTGAAGTGTCGTCTGGATCGTCTGACAGAGCCTGCAACGGACGAGAATTAAGACACGCCTCGATTTGTGTGAGGAGTGTGCTAAGCTCCTCAAAAGTGAGCGTGGTGTCGCCGATTACTCGGCGGAGGTGAAATTTCGTGGATTTCACGGCAGCCTCCCAAAGACCACCGAAGTGAGGGGCCGCTGGCGGATTAAAATGCCAGCGGATCCCTTGAGTGTTGGCGGCGCGGGCGATGTGAAGGCCCTCGGAGGTCGACGCCTTGAAGAGCTCCCGCAGGGTGCGATCGGCGCCAACGAATGTTGTGCCGCAGTCGCTGTAGACGTCCGTACACAGTCCTCTGCGAGAGACGAAGCGGCGTAAGGCGGCGATGAAGGCCTCGGAGCTGTAATCCGAGACGACCTCGAGGTGGATGGCCTTCGACCAAAAGCAGACGAAGACCGCGATGTATCCTTTCTGTGAGCGGTGTCCGCGTCCTTTGCTGGTCCGGATGGAAATTGGTCCCGCGTAGTCCAGTCCAGTGCTCAAGAAAGGTCGAGTTGGCGTCACTCGGTCCCGAGGAAGGTGGCCCATTGGAGGCTGTGGCGTGGCAGCGCGCCAGCGAGTGCAAGTGACGCACCGATGCAGTTGCTGCTTGACGACGGTCCTTCCGCGTGGTACCCAGAATCGAAGGCGAAGCAGACCGAGTGTCATCTGGACGCCGCCGTGCAGAGAGCGACGATGGCAGGACTCGATCAGCAGTCGCGTCATCCAGGAGGCCGGCGGTATGATCACCGGGTGCTTCTCGTCGTAGGGCAGCAGTGCGTGTTTGAGACGTCCTCCAACGCGCAGTACACCTTGGTCGTCGATGAACGGATTCAGCTTGATCAGTGAACTGCGTGGTGGGCCGGAGCGTCCTGCGGTGGCAGCAGCTATCTCGTCCGGGAAGTGGAGCGCCTGTACTACTCGAAGCCACTGGAGTAGGGCGGCGTCCAGCTCGTCGGGGTGTAGTGGACAACCAGGTGTGACCTCCCGGCTCGCCACGTTGAGCCATCGACGACACCAAGCCGTAACGCGTAGCAGCCGATGAAGCGCAGAGAACCGAAGAAGGATGTCCGGTTCGACGACGACGGAGCCCTTGGTCATCAGGCTGGTGGTGCGCTGTTCAGGAAGGTCATCCTCTGCGATGTGGACCTCTGAGCTGGGCCATGCTGTCTCGTCCAGTGCCAACCAGGTAGGTCCAGTCCACCATAATGCGTGGTTGATTAATTCTCCAGGAGTAATTCCTCTCGATGCGCAGTCTGCAGGATTATTCTTCCCGGCTACGTGTCTCCATCGAGCGTCCGGGAGCTGTGTCTGGATATGAGCTACCCGGTTGGCGACGAAAGTTTTCCAGCGAGTGGCGTGTCCCTGGATCCAATGAAGCGTGACCTGGGAATCGGACCACAGATATACTGGAGTAGTTGCCAAGCCGAGAATGTCGCGGACATGCAGCGTGAGCGTGGTGAGTAGGCTAGCAGCGCACAACTCAAGTCGCGGCAACGAAACCTGCTTGACGGGTGCGACCTTGGATTTCGCCATGAGTAGATTAATTGACGGTTTTCCCCTTTCAGTGGTGCGGAGGTAGACTACTGCGGCGTATCCTCGTTCGGAAGCATCAGCAAAACCGTGGAGCTGCAACCTCGAGTGATCGTTGTCGGTGCTGAGCCAGCGATTCACGCGTATGTGCCTGAGCAGCGGCAACTGATCCAACAGCTGTTGCCAATGTCGAGCATCCTTGGCCGGCAGTGGAGCGTCCCAATCAAGTTGCTGAAGCCAGGTGCTTTGGATTAGGATCTTCGCCCGAATGACGACAGGCGCGAGCCAGCCCATCGGGTCGAATAGGCGTGCAGTTTCGGAGAGGACTCGTCGCTTCGTGAATTTGCTGACTGGCCGAGGATGTATTGCGAAGGCAAACCGGTCATCTTGAGGACGCCATCGCAGGCCCAATGTCGAATGGCTCTCTCCTTCCCAGGAATGTGGTCCTTGCTGCAGCCGATGCTCCTGTGGGACTCCTGTGAGGACCTCTGGATGGTTCGAGGCCCACTTCCTCAGTGGAAATCCGCCCGCCATGCAGAGGTTGCGCAGCTCCGTCTGGAGGTTGACGGCGTCGTCGAGGTTGTCCGCGCCGGTGACCACGTCGTCGACGTAGCAATCAAGCCGAAGTACTGTGGCACCTTGAGGAAACTGCGCTCCCTCGTCCGCACAAAGTTGTTGCAGAGTTCGGATGGCCAGGAACGGTGCACACGCCATGCCGTAGGTCACCGTCTGCAGCTCGTACTCTCCGATCTCGTCCGTCTTGTTGTGACGCCACAAGATTGTTTGGAGACGGCAGTCCTCAGGATGTACGAGGATTTGGCGGTACATCTTCTCGATGTCGGTGACGAAGACGTACCGGTGCCAACGCCATCGCAGCAACACGTCGGTGAGCGCTGGCAGAAGGTTTGCCCCAGTCAGCAGCTGCGAGTTGAGCGAAGTACCGGCCCGTGTGCGCTGAGAGCCGTTGAACACGACTCGGAGCTTTGTCGTCGTGCTCGATTCCTTCAGGACCCCGTGATGCGGTAAGTAGCATCTGAAATTCTCCGTTGTTGTTGAGGTATTTACTTTCTTCATGTGTTGCAGGTCCTCGTATTCCTGCATGAAGCCGTGATAGAGGTCGCCAAAACGAAGATCTCGGCTGCCCTTGGTCTCCATGGCTTTCAGTAGGTGCTCCGCTGGGCGGCGAGTATCCTGAAGAGTCGTCGGCGGCGATGAGAAGGGCAGCCTCACCATGTATCTCCCGGTGGGCGTGCGCGTGACGGTGCGCACGTAGAGTTCCTCGCACGTGGTCTCGTCGGGAGTGAGTGAAGCCCGAGTTATCGGCTCGCTCTCCTGCTCCCAAAAGCGTCGAACGAAGTCGGCGAGGTCATGATCGGCGGTGCACCGGAAGGTGCGGCGATGTCCCGTGACTGCTGCTGCGTCGTAGCCGCCAGAAAGGATCCATCCCAGGCTGGTTTGCTGAGCGATCGGCATCCTTGATTCACCCTTGCGGAGGCCTTCCTCGAGGATCAAGGAATAGACCTCGGCTCCCAGTAGCAGCTCAGCTGGGTCGTCGTCTAAGAAGCGAGGATCGGCCAGTTGGAGTCCGTTGAGATGAGGCCAGCTGCGTTCTTCCCGCGAAACCGAGCCTTGCTGCAGCGATATGCGGGGCAGCACAAAGGCCACCACGCTGAGTTTGGCGTTACGTGCAGCGTGACCTTGCCACGAGCGGATCCCGAGCGAGTCCCTCCGATGCCGAAAATGGAGAGGCCCGTTGAGACTCGAGGAAGGCGAAGACGTTGTGCCAAGGTCTCCGAAATGATCGACACCTCAGAACATTGGTCGATCAAAGCGCGTACGGCTTGTGGTGATCCGTACCGATCGGCGACGTTTATTCGTGCTGTTGCAAGAAGAACGGCCTTGCACTCTGGATTTTGCAGCGTAGCGGTCAGTGTGGTGGCGCGTGTGGCTTCAGTTGACGCTGACGATGTGGGTGCTCCGTGTAACATCGTGTGGTGTCGTGCGTCGCATGTCAGACAGTTCTTCTTTGACTGGCAGCGAGAGAGAAAATGGTTGCCTAAGCAATTGTAACAGAGCCTGTTACTCTCGACAAATGCCTTGCGGTCGTTGACAGTCTTGGCCTTGAAATCTCGGCAGGTCATCAAGGTGTGCTTCTCGCGACACAGTGCACAGTGCGGCGACTCGGTTCCTTGGTGCTTCGTGACGTGTGCCTTGGCTACCCGTGGAGCATCTCCGGGCGGTTTGCTGGCGCTCTTCGGTCGTGCGGCATTGAGCGTCAGGATCCGGCGGCTGATGAAGTCCACAAGTGCCTCGTTTTGTGCCGGCTCTGATGAGTCTGACGTGGACGACTCCCACTCAAGACGTGTGCGTGCATCAAACAGCTCGGTGACCAGGAAGTTGAAGAGGTCCATTCCGTGGGTGTTGATTGGACGTCCGATGCTCTCCTGGCCATTGACGGCGGCAGTAACGGCGTTGTGAATGCGTCTCAATTCTTCTGCGGTATCTCCCTTCATCTTCGGCACGGCGATGAACGTGGCGAAGTTGGAGCGGATCAATTCCTTTTTGTTGTTGTAGTGTTTGTCCAGAATCGCCCAAGCGCGATCGTAATTGTCGCTGGTGACAGGCAATGACCTTATTAACCTTTCAGCTTGCCCCGTCAGACATGAGCGCAGGTGGTGAAAGCGCTCGATGTTGGAGATCGCATTGCCACTCACGACGGAGAGAAAGAGATCTCGGAACGACGGCCAATCGGCGTAGGCACCAGAAAATGGCGGCACTTTGATACGCGGCAGTGATGACCTTGACGTGGCGTCGGCAGAAGGAGGTACGTTTGCTGCACGAAAGTGTTCAGCGTAGCTGTCTAGTATGCTTCTTTGTGACACGTAGAGATTCTCCGTATCAGCATGCAACTCTGATTTAAAGTACTCGCTCTCACTGAACTTTTCCTTCAAGGCCGCACGGATAAGGTCATGCTGCGCCTCGAACTTTGTCCACAGCTGATCCAGAATTCTGGTGCGTGTGGAGATAGCACTGGCGGTGATATTGGAGCTGCCCAGCTTCTTCAAGTACTCCACAGAACGTGAGATGCGGACTTGAAGCTCACGCTGACAGTCAACCAGCGTGGGTACATCCATGATGACTGCACACGAAACTGCACTATTGTCACTCACGCGAGAAGTCACGCTCGCGAACTTGCGGTTGCCGGTGCGACGGATCCGGCTCGAAGGACCAGAAATATGTTCACGAACGCGCTGCGTGAGCAAAGGATCGCGCTGCACGAAAGGATGAGTCACCTTTTTGTAAAACAAGGACTTTAATAATATCACACACGTATTGACAAAATACTATAACAAACTTATTACAAAACTTTAATTATTTTACAGTGAAATCGGAATCAAAATCAAAGTGCGGAATAGCGGCGGTCGTCAACGAATTTTGCGGTGTATCTGATAAGCGGTTTGCGATATGTTTTCACGACGGAAAAGCGATAAAGCTCACAAGCGGGGTGTGAGCTCCTCTTTTATAATTTCCGGAGCGGAACCCACCTTCGTGTGAAGCGCCAATAATTTTGCGTCTTTTTAAAGTTGCGCAAGGTGACCTGAGCGTATTACGCGTAATTGGCCGCTGTCAAAATTGACAGAACAACGGCTGTTAGAAAGCATGCGCAAGCTGGCGATCACGATGATTATTGGCGAAACGAGGCGCCCGTGAGAAGCCGCGCATGCTCAATAAAATATAATTATTCGGCGGAACGGTTGCAACACCGTTAATTGTTTATATTTCGAGCGTGTTTTTGTACGACAGGATAATTTGTGTCGCGATATGTTTTCCAAAAAAAAAAACATAAAAACGATATGCCTGTTGATTTGCGATCGGAAGCGAATATTCTAGAATATTCTATTTAAGATATAATATTTTATTACACATGTAGTTTTCTATTATGCGTTTCAAACAGTACTCAAAAATTTAAACGATCTAATAATAAATTATCACGAAAAGTAACTGATATGTTATTCAAGGTGCCAGTTCAAAGTGAACATACGTAAAGTGTATATTATCTAAATTTAGTAATAATATATTATCATGAAAAGTAACTGTAATATTTTATTCAAGGTGCAAGCTCACATTGAATATACATACATATAAGTAAAACTGATTACAATTTGATTCTAGAAAATAAGTGCGATATGTTATTCTTAGTGCACAAAATATAATAGTCGTTTATAGAGATTTGATTTGAAATTCATACTAGCCCGTACAATGAAAAATAATTGCTCGTAATTCCAGAGTACTAATTTGTTAATGACTCAGAAAAATAACATGGCGGCCTGCTCTCAAAAAACTTTCGATGGGTAGAATAAATAATTAAAATAAGAGTTGTGAAAATTGTATAAATTAAAAACCTCCAATCTTTCTTTAGTAAAATTTCGAATTTTCGTATCAACTTCCGATTTGTGTTATACCGTATTTTCAGGGAGTAAGTTATTGATCAGAAAACTTTGCCTTGTTGCTCGAAACGGGTGTATATTAAGTAAAATTTATAAATGTACAGTTCTCAGGTCAACTACAATAAAGCTATACGCTTAAAAAGTTTACTGATTATTTGTCGTAATATACAATAAAAAATTACATATTAATTATTCAAGATACAAGTGAGAAATAAATATCATTAAAATATACAAAAAAAATTTATCAATTTGACTCTGAAAAGTAAGTGACATGGTTCTCAGCAAGTGCAAGGTTTCATTTGACTTACAATTTTCTTCAGAAACACAGAAGAAAAAGGTATTTGTATATAGTTTTGTATATTCACTTCGTTGTGTGTGTAGAGCTTTTAAAAATACGTTGAATCCTTATTCTAATCTAATCTTCTTCTAATGTAATACTTTTCGTATTTCAAATGTTGTAGTAATTATTCTGTAAGAGCTTCGACATTATTTCTAAATGGACATCGAGAAACATCATAGTTTTTTGAGAGCAGGCCGCCATGTTATTTTTTTGAGTCATTAACAAATTAGTACTCTGGAATTACGAGCAATTATTTTTCATTGTACGGGCTAGTATGAATTTCAAATCAAATCTCTATAAACGACTATTATATTTTGTGCACTAAGAATAACATATCGCACTTATTTTCTAGAATCAAATTGTAATCAGTTTTACTTATATGTATGTATATTCAATGTGAACTTGCACCTTGAATAAAATATTACAGTTACTTTTCATGATAATATATTATTACTAAATTTAGATAATATACACTTTACGTATGTTCACTTTGAACTGGCACCTTGAATAACATATCAGTTACTTTTCGTGATAATTTATTATTAGATCGTTTAAATTTTTGAGTACCTTCTTTTGAACATGGCCTGACCTTTTCATTTTTATGATTTTTTTAGGATATACATATACACACATATTTGATGCTAAGAACATTTTATAATAATATATTATGCATTTAAGAATAAATTCTCGAATTTGAATATAAATATTTCTGCATTATAAAATGCAAAATATTTAGTAGTAATTATGTATATAAAATATTTGATATGTAAGAAACAATTATAAATTTATGTTATAAGTTTAAAAATGTAACATAACTTGCACATAAAATACTAAATTAAGAAGAAAAGTGTCGCTTTGTATTTTTACAACAAATTTCAATTTAACATGTACGACTATTATTGCCGATCATATGCAATGAAGGAAGAACATATTTAAATTTCAATAAATTAAATTTCAAGCAAATATAAATATATGTTCGCTAAACAAGTCAAAAGAGCGATGTCGTTACCTCAATTATTGCAATAAGTATTTTTTTCGCTGTAATTGAATAATTGTGATCGAGGCACGCATTTGCTGAGACACTGTCAAGACTTCTTAGGAATTGTATCTCAATTGATGGCTCACGCATAATTATTTAATTGTAGCGCTAAATTCATTTTCGCAATAATCCACATCGCGTTCGGCTTTGTCAGCCTACATATTTATATTTGTTTTATATTAGAGCCGAATATAATTCATAATTGTTATTAAATTTCAAGCATTACAGGAACACTACCAGAAATGTTCTTAATCTCTACTTTTAGTTTTTCTACGTAATTATCACTTACAAGGGCAACACCAGACATCGTTCCCTCCGATTTGGCCGAATCTAAAATATGTTGTATATGTTCACACTAATTCATAGTAAAAAAACACAACCCAACTCTCAAGCATTTTTGAAAAAAATGTAACTCTTTTAATCTTACGTAAAAATAAAACTAAAAAAATTTTTTTAGAAAAAGGTGAAAGAGCGCCTAGATCAACGATATGTATAAAAGCGTAATAAAAAAAACAGTATGTTTCAAAGTATTGCGTAAACTTGTGTTGTCAAATTAATACTTCTAATAAAAAAATAATGAAATCAAAAAGTTGCGCCAAACAAAGTTATATTCCAAAAAATTACAAATCAAAAACTTATACAAAAATTAAAAATTTTTAATTTTTATTATTAATAATAAAAATTTAAAAAATAAAAAATTTTAGTTAAAAAAACTTGACGCTACTTTTCAAAATTGCTAGAATGTATCTTATCTGTAATACATCTTAGAGTAACAAATAATTAATTTACTGTAATAAAATTATAATACATAATATTTTTTTTTAAATTGCTTGCATCAATAAGCGTGATTTTATACTAGCTTATCTATATATGATGATTTAATGATGACAGAACTTGGTAAACGTGTTTTCCTTCCCGAAGCAGAATGTATGTATATCTGTGAGAGGAAAATCTATATTTATCATTTAAACATGAGAAGTATATTATTCGACGTAATATTGTCAGCAATTATAAAGCGTAATAATTATACATCGCACACACAATTATCGGAAAGCGTTTGCAAACAAAAAATTCTATAATTTGCGCAACGATTTTATAAAATGGTCGTAATCTTTTGATCTTATAGTCAGAATCTCATTAGTTTGTTGCAATATCAGCTTACTTTATTCACTGCAACATTTAACACAGAAAATTCAAATTAAAAAAGAACAGAAAACAGAAATTTGCAAGCATCTAGTAACTATTTTAACAGTTACTTTATTAGTTACTTTTTTGGAAACATCCGCTAAAAGTATCGTTTAAGTTTGGTAGCCGTTATATTATTAAATTAAATTTTGATAACAGTAGCATATGGATCTTTATATGATTTAATCTTTTACCTAAAATTTTCATTTGTGTACATAAAATAATATAACACATAATTAAAATCGACCAATCACAGTCAAATATTAAAAAAATTCTTAAATGTAATATATAATGTAATAATTGATGTAATAATTGATCGATTTGCTTCAAGAATTTTTTTAAATACTTGACTGTAATTGTGCATAAAATGTAAGCTCCTTATATTTAAAATAATGTATAATTATTTTTAAAAAGTAACTGAAAAGTAACGACTCGTTACTTTTTGAGTAACTGTAACTGTAATGAGTTATTTTTTAAAATCAGTAACTTGTAACTGTAACTAGTTACTTTTTCAATAAAATAACTGTAACTGTAACTAATTATTTTTACAAAGTAACTTTCCCAACCCTGGTTTTTTATTATGTTTAATTAATATGATTGATAAGACGCAAGTGAGCGCTCGAAACGTCTCATCTATGTAATAAATAATAGAAATTTCATGATTTAAACATATCTTTGTATTATTGTCATCTAATAACCACTCGTCTAAAACACCTTATATACCTATTGTTTATTTATTAATATTGTTACGTCCCTGATCTTTCATCCCCTGAATATCATCCCTTGTGTCGTGGAGCTTCATCGTTAAGGGGGGTTGTTTATTGACAACCGCCCGGTGGTTGTTTTCAGGCTCCATGACAATTTTGGTCTGGCTGTCATCTCGTACGGACGTGACTTGACCAGAGAGCAATCTTCTTTCTTTCGCGTGTACATTAGTCATTGTATTTCATCATTGTATAAAGGATCATTTCTTCATAAGAGAGTGTAATTTTACGTAAAAATGGATCTAAAAAAGATCTTTTTTTAGAAAAATGTAAAAAAGCGCCAAATTCAAAAAAGTAAAATAGAAAAAATAGTATGTTTCAAAGTACTGTAAACTTATGTTGTAAAATTAATATTTCTAAAAAAATATTGAAATCAGAAATTAGAAATTAATACAAAATAAAATATATAAAAAATTTTAGTTAAAAATCTTGGCGCTATACTTTCAAAATTGCTGCGATGTATTCTATTTGTAATATATCTTAGAGTAACAAATCATTCATTTACTGCTATAAAATTTTAATATATAATAAATATTTTTTTAATTACTTGCATTAAGCGTGATTTTACACTAGCTTTTTTATATTATGTACGATGATTATATATTATATACGATATTTTATATTGTATACGATGATTCGACGATAATAGTACTCGCTGAACGTATTTTCTTTTTTGAAGCAGAATGTGCATGTATTTTTGTGAGAAGAAAATCTACATCTATCATTAAATAATGCAAAGTATATTTTTCAACGTAACATATTCAGCAATTATGAAGCATAATAATTATACATCGCATACACAATTATAAAAAAGCGTGTGCAAACAACAAGAAATCTAAAAAAATTTGCGCAACAATCTCAAGAGATGGTCGTAATCTCATTATCTCATTGTCAGAATCTCATTAATTTGTTGGAATATCAGCTAATTGGAATCAGTTTTAATCATTGCAACACTTAGCATTGAAAATTCAAATTAAAAAAAGAAACAGAAAACAAAAATCTGCAAACATATTAACCATTTTATAGTCTCATTTTTTGTTTATCAATTTCATATTGTCATTATTTATATTCTAATCTTATATTTTTGTAATTTTATACAATTAGATTCAACATTATGTTTAACATATGCGCACAACGAGAATCGAGACAGTCAATCACGGAAAAGCGACAACAGTGTCAATAACATGCATTTTTTAAAAGGGCAAATTCTATGCTGGATTGATCAAACTAACGTCAAAAGTTCCAACATATGTTCTTTGGTTTTCTTGCATAATTAAGAATAATAGATGTATATATGATTTTATAATAGTAGACAAAACTGTGTGTGTGTGTTTCTTCGCAAAGTTATCCACAACTCGTCATGCTCGGTAGTTTCATTTCTTCTCTTGCACAGACACGTATTAACTTATGCAATATTGTCTTCTTTCAAGGAAGAAACGTCAAAAACGAATACAGTGATACATTATATGCAGTTTACTAAATTAGTGTGATAATTAAAAATTAACAACGCAATTGTCTAGATTTACAGTGTTAGTATAAAATCAGATCAACATTTTTAAAATTTTATAAAAAAAAAACAAAAAGAAATTATTCAATTCGATTATATGTGTACATTACGCACTTGACACATATCTTTCATTTACTAAATACAAAAGCTATAGTAGGCACAAAATAAATATACATTTTTTAAGTATTGAAAATTAAAATTTATATGAGAAATAATGAATGTAGCAACAGGTTTGATTGATTTCTCTATCTAATTTCTGTAGTGAATCCTTTGTAAAATAATGTTTGTACAAAATTTTGCGGTTCTGCGTTGTGAGCTTTTTCTCCTCATCACTTCGTCATCGAAATCTCAGCAAAATTACACCAACAACGAAGATGAAGGTTATAATTTGACAGTACGATACGAGATATATGCAAATTCTACAACAATTTATAGCGACGAGATAAATCCACTGCGATATAATTTGTATGAAAGGTTTACCAACAATACGCAACATAAGGAAACGGAATATGAATTTAGCATTTTTTCCACGAATATCGATCGCGAGGATGTTGATTCAAAACTATCTAAATTAAGGAGGCGTTCTGCTCACAACCATGAAAATGATGACAAACTGATGTACACTTACATCAATTCAACAGATGTCGATCATGCAGAAAACTCTACGTCACTGGAGGTTTATGATAACTTGCTTGAAAAGAATGATTCCATGTCGAATACAATCTTTGAAAATTCCAATAAGGGTATTAATGAAAGTAACACTGTTTCATTCCAAATATGCCATAATATCACTTGCATTCTGTTCTGCTGTCCTCTTGGCAATATCATGAGATGGAATGACTCCAAATGTATTCAAAAAAAATGGAATATGTTTTTCCGAATGTGTACGAATACATGAACGATTTAACGCAGAACGAAAGTAAAATAGTGGACGAATTCTTTCAGTTAGCCGTCTACGATCCGTGCTTAGGAAGCCGTACCGTGGCATACGAGGGTCATCAATACGATTATAAGATTTTTGCCAATAGTTCTATTTATATCCCTTATTATGCAACATTAATTGAATCGACATCATATTGCTTTACTATTATTTTGGAAAGGGGAAATACGTTTGAAATAACTTTCTGTTCAGATCTAAAGGAACTTTACAGAAACGCTATGAAGTACTCACCTGAGTTTCGTTGGATACATCGTATGATTGATATACATTGCAGCTTGAATTTAGTGGGTATATTATTTTTAGTGGCAGTATTTCTAGTGTATTCCATATTGCCAGAACTCCGAAATGAACACGGCTTCATGTTGCGCAATTACTGTGCATGTTTATCCATCACATTCGTGATTGATACAGTCAAAGTTTTACATTTGAAAGAGGAACCGACATACATCCGTCCCGTCTGTATTACAATTGGTACAGTATATCTAGCAATAAATTACATAAATATATAAAATAAGTGCAGAACGTATTTGTCAATCATAATATATTTCCGCATAATACATCTTCATTATTTGAATATATATAACACACTGGTTAAAATACAATTGTCAATAATGAATTAAACTAAAATTTAATGCATTTTAATTATAATCTAAGTTTGCCCCAACATATATATATATATATATATATATATATATATATATGTATATACATATATATACGAAATTTTGTTTTATAGAATTTTGCAGTGTTAATGTCTTGAAATATTATTTAATTTAATATCGATAGTATCAGTATTCATAATAATGAATAAATATTGTTATTAACTTTTGGTGCAGAATATAGTACATAAATCTGTTTAAAAGTGAAGAATCAAAAACTTGAATCTTTTGATTTTTTTTTCATTTTTACGCACGCTTAGTGATGAAAATAATATTTATTATTGTAACCTTTATTTATATTCATTTTTCAGCCTTTTTAAGATATTTTTGGTTTATGTCGAGTTCCTTTTGGCTAAGTATCATGAGCTTTAATATGTGGCGGACATTCAGGTAAATAGCCAAGTATTTTATATTGTACTTTAATTCTTGGTTTCTGATTTTAATCTGTCTTTACATATGGTAATTGCTTTATAGTATTAAATATACCAAAAATTTTGTCAAAATAACTTAAATTTTTTGAAATTAGAAATAGCATATATATTAAATAATATACATTATTTATTTAAATTAAAAAATATTTATGAATTATTACAACGTAATCTATTTCGCAACTTGATTTCAAACTTGATATTTATATTGCGTCGATCTTTCTTTATGAATAAAATAAAGCAATAAACAATAATTTTTTAACATAAATATATTTTTTATCTCTAAATATTAAATAATTTAATTATTTTTTTTCATAGAATAATTATGTAATTCGATAATAGTTTCTAAATATTATACAATGTAATGATCAAAAACAAACAATAATTTAAACCTTTTACAATGAGATTTCTTTTATTTACACTTACTTAGGTAAATATGACATGTACATTATACATGTAAATTACAGAGAATTTTCTTCGCTACAAAGGAACGTCAAAGGAATTATACAATCAGGAAAAAAAAAGTTGGTGTATTATGCTATTTTTGCGTACGGATGTCCATTTGTATTTGCAATTGTTTGTGTCATTGTTGCGGATTATTTTTCCGAGTATTTACCAAAAAATTTGAGACCAGAATTCGTAGAAGGATCTTGCTGGTACTCTAGTCAACGTACGTTTTAGATAATTTTATTAATGCTACGCAATTTAAAAGTATGCAACAGTATATAAGATATCATACTTACAGATTTTGAAGCGTATATATTTTATTATTACTGGATCAGTACTACCTGTATTGTTAGTAGCATTTGCTTATCCATTTCTTCGTCTCGAAATATCAAACGGTGTGAAAAGGATGCAAATTTTCGTCTAACAGATTCGGAAAGCAGGCAGTATAATCAAAATAAGAAATGGTGAGTAATCTTACATTTTGCATCACTCTGTGATAAACTTTTATTTTATATTAGTAAGATTTCTGTAGAAATATTTTTGTGAACATCTCTGCCGACATCACATACTCGCTTAATTCGCATTCCAGATGAAAAAGAGATACGATTTTTTTAAAACAATACATTTTAACTGTGCTTATTCTTGTCTTTTTATTATCATTTTTCCTTCTATTTTGTAATAACATAATCTATTAGAGAAGAAAAACAATTATTTCTGTAACTTGCATTAGGTCTTTTCGAAAACGTGTGTAATTCTCGAAATGTCGTAAAGAGTGAAAATCAACGAATATATATTTAATACATAAATAATTACATTTTTGAAGTATTTCTTTAAATGACTTTCTCATTTCCCCATTTTTAGAAATTGTAATTTGTTCCACCATTTTCAATTTAATAATTTGATACATAAAATTTGTTATTTTTTTTTTTAAATGACTAAATATTAATATATATTTCTTTGCAGGTTTAATCTATATATGAAATTTTTTATCATATTGTTTATCACTATGGGTATAAATTGGATTTTGTATACAGTTGGATGGCATTTATATACAATACAATTATATTATTATTGTTTTTGCATTAATATTGCTAATGCTTTGTTAAATGTAACAGAGTATTTCTTGGTCTTTATCATATTTGTATGGAAAAGAAAATCAAGTCGATGTTATTGAAACGATTCGGATTCGAGACAAATACATCGACTTGAATACCACTTTTGAGGAATCTATGCAGGAAAAGGCGAACTTTTGCGGAAAAAGATTTGTCACACGAAAAACTCATCTAATGAAATTGAATTCTACTGTTGTCAGTATGTAAAGAAAAGAGTTTTATCACAGATCAAATATCAACGATTAATATAATTGTATATAATCGCAATTTAATATAATCTTATAAAATTGAAAGTTACAATGTTATATTTTACGTGATGTTTAGATTTCTTCGAAGGGTTTAATTAAAAATTTTACATAGAAAATTTGTCTTATCGCAGTGCATATAATTATTTTAAATTAATGCGGTTTAAATTTAGTAAACATTTTTCGTCAAAAAATAATCTTTTATGAAAGCTATACAATATATTATGCTGTATATTATTATAAAAATGATTTCTGCTTCAAATAAAATCATATTATACATTTATATAAATATCCCTTATGGAAATTTATTATTAGTAAGACAAAATAATAACTTATTTCGGTTACTTAAATTACTGTATATCAGTAATTTAAGTACTCTCAAAATATGTGATTATTTGGACTTACCAGTGATAAATTTCCATAAGAGATATGTATATATAAAGGGAAAGTATGATTTGTTACAACTGATGACATGGTCCATACAAATAAACGAATATTTTTAGACGCAACGGTGTTAAATGTATTTATTGTTTATAAATAGTATATATTTTAACGAGGTGCTCAGTGTAGCTGAGATATGACAAAAGCGCGGTTATACATATATATATATATATTTAAGAGTGAAAGAAGAATCAATGGATAAATATAAAGTATAAATAATAATCGAATAAACAATGGCTATCTCATCATTCATGTATGACTTCTAAATTTTTGGGATACTATAAAACTTTTTTGGCCGAAATAATTGAGTCAAAAATAAAAAAAAAATTATAAGAATATTTATTATTTTTGATATATTTCTGATATGAAATTCTAATGTATAGCATATTTCCTATTTTTAAAGCATAGTTTGAATTTTTTAAATTGATTTAACGCATTTTTCCAAGCTCTGGAAACAAAAATTCATTTGTTGCAGCCAAAGTCATTACAACATTTTTAATAATAAATTAAATTAGAGAAAATATTTCTAATGACGCCAGTAAATATAATCACTAGGATAAGAATATTTTAATGTGTAGACGACCAAACTGAGCAAATAGTATTCCTTTATTATATATTTGTCATAACGTTTCAACCTGTCAATGGGCTCTTACTGCGCCTGCTGTTGAGTGCGTCTTAGTTCGTTGGCGTCCGTCGACGTGTTCAGACGTGTTTTGTCTGAAAGAATTTTTTCCTTTTTGGTCCATTGTAGATCTAATTAGAACTTATGGCCGGGAAGGAAAAGCCAAGTCTGGCTTATATAGGCCACTAAACCGTGAAGAAGAAGAAGAAGGGTGCGTCCGTGGAGTTTCTGCGAGGACCCCCGTCCTCTCTTCTCACAACAGCTCTCTATGTCCGTTTCGGCCGAATTCCTTTCCTTGGCTGATATTGTTTATGTCAGCAATCAAATCGGCTACGTTCATTCTCGGCCGCGTTTTTGCCTCGTTATTTGCTGCTACGGTTAATTTCCTCGAAAATATAATATTCTCTCTTTCCTGGCAAGGCTCCCGAAAAATAAAAATAAAATGAAATAAAACTCTCTCTCTCTCTCTCTCTCTCTCTCTCTCGACGCAACCGCTCTGTCCTGCGATCGGGAGTGCACGTGCATCGGGACGACCACGTCAAAGTACATACATGGCATGAATGTTTTATGTCAAATATGTGTTTACTTGTATAACAGTCGAAAGTCGAAAGTCATACGCACGTATGCATAGCGCAACATTGTACGTATCGCTTAAAGCGCGACGATGGTCGAAAAGCAAAGTAGTAAGGCAATAGGACGGTATTGCGAAGCGTTTAATAAAAAAAACGAGAAATCACTCGGCACTCGATCAGATAAATATTAACGCGCTTTTTCGCCTTCTATCTAATACTATTAAATTCGTTTTTGTCATTAATAATTGTAAAAAAATTTTTAATAATTGTAAAAAAATTATTTGACTTTTACAATCATCTATCTTTATTTCTACAAATACACATTTTATTTGTACAGTAGAATTTATAACAGAAAAGCATTAAAAATGCAAAAATTCAAAAATTTACATAATCCTGTATACATACACATATAAGATTCAAAAAACCAAACACTCACAAACCGTTCCTTTTTTTAGTATGTGGGACTACTTTATATATCCTCCGGTAAGGGCTGTAAGTTATGAGACTTTTTCTTTATAGGAAAATATACCGCACTAAAACCCATACCTAATGTAGACACTGCTTCAAGTCAAGATAAGCGGAGTGTGTTTCTGTCATTCGATACACTGACCGTCCCTATCAACATATATAAATAGTATAAGAGCAAGGCAACGTTAAAGAATTCTTTAACGGCTAACAAAATTCCAACTTATACACATTATATTGCATTATTTTAAATATTTAGGCTAGATAAATAACATAATACTTCATATTTACGATTATATCTTAATGAAATAAATAGGTATCCAAATTTTTAATAATATTGCATTTTCAATATTGCGATATAATACGAATTATATTCTCATGGTTAATAGCTGCTATGATAAAAAAAAATACACGTATTGCTTATTTTAATATTTTTTCAACAAAAAGAGAGAGACAACAAAAAAAATGCAAACTATATGTATATACAGCATCGTCGAATTTAGCAGCGCGAATGTCTTAAAATCACTCGTATAATTGTTTATTCTCAACAGGCGCGACAAAGTGGGTTTCACACGCATAAAAAATATTTATCTATTTTAAAAAAGTATTGCTAATATCGAATAAGTATTTTTTCACAACAAATCAATATTATTAATTTTAAAAAAATGATGTGTTAACGGCACTATTGAAATAAATATTTATTTGAAATTAATAGCCTTTTTTAGTGTATAGAGTATAGATAATTGTCAAAAATATAAAAAGCAATATAAAGTTAATACAAACATCGAATCACTTGACAACACGTATTTTGACATTTTTGGAGAGTTGTCTAATATGTAATCCTTAATTACTTTGTTTTTTGTTTTGTTTCACATTTTAATTATTTAAATGTTACATCGAACTTTAATGTGATACACTCACCAACAGTCATGACTCTTTAGAAATAAGAAGTCTAAATAATTTTTAACAATTAATCCTTTTATATTTTTCACGACGTTGTAAGTAAATTTTAATTTATTCCTTTTAATATATCTTTTATTAAATTGATTTACTTTTAACAAAATATTTTAATGATGTTTTAGTTAAAAGGGATTATATATTATATATTTTATTTTTTATTCTTTTTCTTTTTACCAACAGTTTGATGGTAGAACGACTTGTTCACAATTGACATTGTCAAATTTAAATCAACAACTTCTCGCTTCTGAACAATGATTTTGTTAATAGGTTTTTAGCGTTGTCAGGCCGAGTTATTATTACCATCTTAAAATATGTTTTAATCATGTTTCACACGATAAGGGTTTCTTACGTTTTCGTTTGCATTTCTTAAATTTTAAATTTATATCTATACAATTTTATATATTTTGCAATATTCATGTGTAGGCGATTATATCTGCTTTATATTTTTATTTATTATAATTATTTGTTAACAAATTTTTATACTGAGGAAGACTACTTATAGTCGTTACGTTTAGATCCAACAAAATAAAAGCAATTTTAATACATACGAAAAATGTTTATACATTGTTGTTTATTTCTCCAAATATTGCTCGTTTAGTTGGTCTTTTTTGTAAGATATTGCGTTATAATACACGAGCCTAATTATATTTTTTAAGTTTTATTTTATTTTATAGGTAATTGTAATAATATGATTCTTGCTCACATTATTTCAAATTGTTGAAGAAGGATAAAAGACGATAGTATTAATTTTTATCTGAAGAACGCTCGCGAGAAAAGAAGAGAGATATTTCTTTCTTCATCCGCGAGCGATAAGGATAAACAAAGTAGTGCGCCGTCGTTCTCATGCCGTATGATTATGTTGCACTATATCTACAATATGTATATTAGACATGCAATCAATCTTTTTTTCTGCAAATAGAGATAGAAGAAATTTAAGTAGTGCGATGCGAAAAGGTTTTGATTTAAATTATATAAGAAAAATAAATACACCAGCGCAATGTGTTTTAAAAAGTATAATTATTTCGTATTTGTTCAATGATATTTGTGACGTCATTCTGACTATTCGTTTTATTAAAA